GAGGAAGAGGAGAGAGAAAAAAAAAAAAAGTAAATCGTAAGAGTAAAAGGGAAATTATCCGTGCGGTGTGCGGTTACCGTGATTGCGAGATTGCGGCTTGTCGCATAACTGATATTTCTCCTTGACGATTACGCGTTGATGCATCTCGGTAACCCGTTCCCACGCGTGCCACCGGGTCAGCGCGTGCATTTTTCATTGGCGAATCGATGCCATCCACCGACGTAGAAATACCACGGGCACTACGGAATCCTGTTTCCACCTTCGATCGTGTTACCAGATTCTCGCGGGGGACACGAAAACCGTTTTCGCGGTGCATCAACCTTTCAGTCGCGACTCAAACGACATAACCGGAGAAAGGAACGCGTCGATATGCATCGATGAAAACCGCCTTTAACCATTTCACCCCTTGGCTATAATCGTTATCTCGAATTGAACCGATGCTACGTCTAAATTATTATTGCTTGGTTACTTAAGTTTGAAAGTTTGAAAGTTTTGAAGTATAGAGGATTCTTTGTTTAGTGAAAACACGATTGTGTTCGTGGTTTGATACCCTTCGAATCTTAAGGAAAAGGGTAGTTAATGTTTTATGAGATATAAACTCACCGTGAGACAATCTCCTCGCGTGGTCCTGCTTCGAGTAGACTTTGGCCACGTAGCGACAGAACATTTTGTCGAACAGCGCCAAGAAAACTGGTAGCAGGGTGTCTTTTACGAGAGGTAGCCATGTCGCGAGATTTTGGGGGGTGCAGAAGTCTGTGAGGAGAGTCGGTTTGATGGATATCACCTGAAACGAAGAGAAACTTTCTTGTTAGCACTAGATATCAAGATTGAATATTCTGATAATCTACAAAAGATTAGCGAAGCTTGTTTTACTTTGAATACGATAGAAACGAGACATTAACCCTTTGCGGACGAAGACTGTTTAAAGTACACAAAGCTAGCAACATATGAAGATAAATTATACATCGAATGCTTAAACAATAGAAGTAAAGGAAACTGTACGCTGATTTCTTGCTATTCGAGTAATTAAATCATTCGCTTGCAACTTAGTATTCCAAATATGAACATCTCATCTCCAATATATCGACGTTCGTCCGCACAGGGTTAACATAAAACAAAATCGAAGAGCAGTAATCATTTAATTCCAACCTCTTTATTTACTCTTCTATCAAATTTAATAGATTCTCAATATATTTATCCGCCTGACAGTTCTCCCTCCTTTATTAACGAACGAATAAAATGTATTTCAAACGAATATAACGATTACCAAAGTGAACTCAGAACCAGAACGAATACGAAACCCTCCAATTAATTTCAAGAATGTATACGCAACCAGAGACATCGACTGAATGAAACGTCACTTTATTCATCAGCAAAATCACCCGAAGAAGGAGCGCGGGGGTGAATCGCTTGTACAACGAGCGAACAATAACGCCGCGAGTCTGTTTCCCGTAAGCGGAGTCTGGCGAGCCATAAATGGAGCATAAAGAGTTTCTTCCAAGGATCGTCCCATCTGTCAATAGTTCTCACGAAAGAAATCGTGTCGCGAGCGAGAAACGAACACGCTTTCCCCTCGGGGCGAAAAGCGGTTGCATTCCAGCGGCGTTGCATCGTTGCATGCGGCTAATTGTTCGGCTCGTCTGCCGTGGACGCGTCGATAAACAAGGTACGCACGCGCGCGCTCCTATAATTTCGCGAGCGACCGATTAGTATAATAAACCGAGGCGGACGAACGAAAAAACGCAGCAACGAAGAGGGAACACCGAGAGGGGGGAGGGGGGCGGCGAGAGGGGAACGGATAAAAACGAGGCGAGCAAACCACGAGGGAAACGTCGAAACGTCGGCGGCGGTGCGGTCTTACGTGGCCGCTTTACTTTCGATTTTAACGAGCCGCGAGCGGGAAATTTCCACAGTGAAAACTCGCCTCGGTCGCGCTTTCAAAAGTGCGCCGCCATTGCCGGCGTCGCATGCGCGCATTTTTGCGAACCGATACGACCCGGACAATCGCGAAGCGATAAAATTCCCTTGTTCCTATCCTCGCATGGTAATTTTCTGTTCGTCTTTCCCTCGGTTCTTGTTTCGACGAAGGAACAAATGATTCAGCGTTGTCGACACAGCGGCTCGATAAAAAGCCTGATAAATTAGACTGGGCATGGAAACCGTGATTTGGAAACGAGAGTTTCACTTTTCAACTGTATCGTCGTCAGGCACGCGCACGAAATCCTACTTCCTTTTCGGTTCAGCCGCGAGCGTGCCTACTGATTTTTAATGGTTGATGTTTGTAATGCTTCCTTGAACGTTACTCCCGTTTGGGAACTGTTCGAAGCAGCCTGAAGAGGAATTGAGTGTCGGTAGAATGCTATATCGAAGTAATTTCGAATCGAGACGCTCGTTCCTCGAACGAGGAAAAGTTGGAAGACGAAAAGGAATGATGTAAGCGACTTAGGAAAGTTCGGATCGCGCTTATGTAAAAGTTAATGACACGATCGCCGTGAAAAAGGGTTGCTTAGGAAACCGTTGCAACGGGAGTCACGTGCGAAATTCATTTCCACGGAATTACGTTGAAAACGAGTTGCCTGGTAAGCGGATTGAGAATCACTGCGTTTTGATTGGCGGCGTAATGGCCGGCGCACAATGCGCAATCCAGGAACTGAACGGTATCCCGACAATTAAAAAACCAGCCGCCGCACTGTTTTCGCAGGATTTCACGTTTTCATTTCTTATCGTTGGGAACGGCTCGTATCGCGCGCGGTTTCGTCGTCGTGGTTTTAATTAACCGGGACCATTCACGGAGGAAATCGAATCTCGCCGAGCCCGGTTTAACTGAATTCGCCCGCGAAAAACGGGGGAATTCGCGCCGGTTCGACCGGCGCGCGTTTGTTTGCTTCTTCTTTTCGAGCGAGAGTTTGCTTTCGAATTAAACAACGGCGCGGTTCGTTTGCCGAGGATTTTTGTCAAGTGAGAAAATCAAACGTAAAAGGTGTCGCGTTAATCGTTGCGCGTGCCTACCATTTTTGCTCGGTGTCCGTGTCGGCTTGACAAACATCCGCAGCCTATTAATTAGCAGCGCGTGACGCGCGTGCGGCGATCGCGGCGGTCTCGAGGAAAGGGAAACCTCGAAATATCGTTCCACTAACACAGTGAAACCGTTCACGGCCGATCTAATCAAATTTCGAATTTCACTCGCGTCGTTCACGCCGATTTAAGAGAAGAGACGCACGCTTAGAAAGCAGATGGCGTAAAGGAGACCGCGGTGGAAAGCGAGCGAAAATGCCGGGTAACGTTGCAAAGCGATCACGGTGAGTCGGTGGCTTTTGTGAGAAGAGAAAATTAAATAACGGATATTTATGCGTGCGTCGCGACCGATCCGGACCGTGTTCCTCTACTCGCGAATAGACGGGTTGCTCTCGATCGCCGAGTCACTCGATCCTAGACCCGTTTCCATCGTCCGATGAAAATGAATGCGGCGAGATTCGCATGTCGGATTCGTTGAAACGTTTATCGCGAATCTTCGTGGAGACTGATAATCTACCGGTTTGTTGAACCCAGGGTATAAACGAAAGAGCAAGCCAGAACGAAACGAAAACTCGTTCCATCCTAATGAAGTACTTATTATGGATTACTTCACGGAGAAAGTGAAATTCTACCTAATTCCAGAGTCGGTGAATTAGTCCGTAAAAATGTGAACCACCGTGAGGACACCCGCTGTCTCTTCGAACGAGAACTCTTGTTCACGATATCGTTGCATTCAATCTAATGTTCAATATTTCAAGCGTTAGCCGCGCGTTCCTTTTTTATCCGTCGCGGACACGACACGAGATTCGACGATAAACCATTAATTATGAAGGTAAAAGTATGGTATCGAATAGAAGAATTGCAGATGCCCCGTTAATCGGGAATGAAATCTACTCGACGAACGTTCCGTTTTAAGAAACCACTCTCAATGCCATCGAGGGAAAAAGATCTGCAGAACGAGAGCTGATCGAACGGCCCGATTAAAGGGGGGTTCTATCGCTCCATAATTTTTCCACAGTCAATTATCCCCGCAATTAGACATCGTGCCAAGATTTTCCGCTCCGAATCTCCCGAATAACATGACTAACTGCAGCTAAACTGTATACTTTCGGTGCGCGTTTTAATACGTAACGAGCCGGCGTCGTTACACGCGTGCCATGTTAGCGTGTCGCTCCGGTTTCCTCCGCGTTTTGTTTTTCGCCCCGTTTTCACCGCTCTCGCGTGCCCTTTAACACGAGAACTATCGAGCACTCAAGTCGACTTTTTAAATTTCCTTATACAAACTAGACGCGTGCGTCTATTAACCGTTTGCATGCTAAACAACTTTTGTGAATGTTTACCAAAAATGCGGAAGTGATTGGGTGTGTATACAAAAAAATTGATAAGAGTACTTATCTAATGAGATCACAAATGTTGTGTCATTATAAAAAAAATATCAAACAACATAAGAAGAGCGCTATAGCGCTCTTCAACACTCAAACGGTTAAGATCTTAATTGACTTATATTTCAGTTGATGTGTCACTGAATCAGCTTCTTTGACACTAAGATTTCCAAATATATCGAATTCACTTATTTCTAAATTCTCTTTGAATTATTAAAAAGATAACAGACGCTTCTCTGAGAAATTATTGAAGAAATTGATTTAGTAATATGCGAATTGAAGCATAAATCTTAAATAGCTGCACTCTTAGAGTTCCTATAGAAGGATTTGAAAAGTTTGATTGATAGTCCTAGTGTTACTAATTTGTCAAAGAAGTTTCTGTATCTTTTTAGTAATCATACAGGAAAAAATCAAGGATGGATTGTTTTGACTGATCGGGTAGTCCCAGTGTCAAGCTTGAATTCTATCAAACAAACAGAGTTTCACTCGACGAGATTCGAGTCGGAACCCGCGCCGAATTCAAAATGAAGCCCGTTTTACTTTAATTGCTCGACGTTCGCCGACCCGTCACGCTGCTCGCGTCCGAACATCGCCTAGAATTCGATCGATTTTCAGTAAGCGCGTGCATACACCTGGTTTTCCCTCAAATCGAGGTCGAGTCGATTCCAGCCGGCCCGTCGTGCGCGATTTTATCGCTGCGTTCCGGTGAACGAACGTTCCTAGAAAAATATGTAATTGTCTAATTGTTGAATTTCAAGCGTGCACCGATTACGGACACCGATGCTCATATATTCGGTCGATGGAAACGGCGTTGCTAGTTGCTTCGTGCTGTAACTGACACAGGGAATGCGCTGGAAGCATTATTCGCGCTATCGCAATCAATCGTCGATGAAAGCTGGCTTCTCATTTTTAAAACGATTCTACGCTAATACGAAAGGGGAACGTATTCAATCAGCAACTGAAATCGCAACTGAATACATTAGAATAAACTAGAGATCACCAAATATCCTACTATGCAAATTAATTTGATAATCCGAGAATAAGATACCCGAAAAATTCCATTAATCTAACATATAATCAACAATTATACACTACAAGCAGTATTAGAAATACATAGAAAATATTCTACTGTTCTCATTTCTTTGCATTTTATCTTATCTCTTAGCATGTAAAGGTAAGAAGTATTTAAACTATCTACCGCTAAACCTACCGAGCAGTTAAACTTTTCGAAATTCTTCTACAACTTGGTGAATATCGATTAATTGATTTGCAATTCAGAGTGCGCATCGCTGAATCAATTTCTACAATAATTTCTCAGAGAAATATCTTAATAATTGCCAAGAGAAGAAACCAAGAATCATTTTGTCTCGTTCAGTAGGTTCAGCGTTAACATCTGGCTCTCAGGCACGGCAATTCGCGGATTCCGAAAGAAAAGTGACCAGTAGCGCGAGAGACTTCAACGCGCGGCACAGTAGCAACCCAATTAAATGGCGGCCAGGCGGGCGGCGATTACAAACACCGTGCGTCACGCAGCCTATTATAAATATTAAACGAGCAAGGCCCTGGGAGTTTCACCGGGCAGCATTTAACGAATCCCAATCGGGCCCGGCATCGAGGTCATCGGCCGTATTAAGGCGTTCGCACTTTCGAATATTTCCCTCGCGCGTTTTAATCTGTCTCCTCTCCTCTTTCCTGTTTCTCGTCGCAGCACGAGACAACGGGCCGCGTCGTGAATATTGATCGATCGTAAAGTTCGATTAAGTGTCACGCGGCGACCCCTCCCCGCGCGCGCGCGAGTGCGCCAAGAAAGGAGATCTCGCGCGAGTGGAGGTGGATAATTTATCTCTTTTGTCTCTGTCGGGTCCGAGCGGTCGGCTTTCTCGTCGGCGAACGGAATTCCGGTGCGGGGTAAAAGAGAATATAGTCAGCGGCACGTCAACTTCCGGGCGACGGTGACGGCTTCCGGTTCACCGGGGAACCCTTTATGATCCGGTTCAGTCGATCTTTTCATATGAACTCTTGTTTACGATCGCTGGCTGGCCATTATTCCTCGGTCGCTCGACAATCGCAGCGAATCACCTTTGGACTTTGAAATATATTTGTCCGCAGGTGCTCTTGTATTGAACTCGACATTCCTTAATTGTGTTATATTGTTTTTTGTATGATCGATAAACAGAATTGTTCACATTGATCTTTATCGATTGATTTTTCTTGTATTTCAAATGAAACGTTAAAATAAAACGGAGTTATTAGAAAGAAAGTGAAGAGAGAATCCGGAGTACAAAGGATTGAAAGGAGAATAGAGATATAAATAAATTGTGTACGAAACAGAAGAATACGGTCGTTTGTTGCGTTACTTTGTTTTCTGTCAGAGTTTCAACCGTAAAAATGAACAGTTGGAAAAACAGTGAAAAGAATATGTTGTATACAATGGTGCCGTTAATGCGTCGATAAATATTCGCATTAGGAAACAACGGAGCGTAATTGGATAGCAATTTATCGGGATAGTTTAATGAACGAATTATACGATATCCACACGAGCGTATTACGGAAGGGGCCGCACAATCGCGCGCTTTTATTCGTTCGTAAATGATAGATCAGAAGTGAGTTAGGTTCATCGATTCCGGTCGTGTAACATTGCCACGGCTCGCTGCGCGGCCGCAATTTCGTGGATATTACGAAATACGGCTCTTATGGCCGAGACAGTTAGACCGGAGCAAATTTGCTCGCGAACGAACTTCAATCGGACGGATACGGGAACGTTTAATAAATCCCGGGTGTCCCGGCGTGATAAATCTGTCGCGTGAGATAGCATTTACCGTCTACCCAGAATCGATCGGAAAGGAATCATTTAACGGGCTACTGCCTTTTGTATTCAGCTCGTTTGTAGCTTCGAACGAAATAAATAGAACGATCTTTCTTTTGCATTTCGTTAGTTTCCCGATTTAAACAGCAATCTGTGTTGTTTATTCATTTCCTGCTTAAAGCGTACAGTTGAATATGTTATAAATTCTTAATTCTCCTTTTTTTTCAATTCTCTTAACTTCCAACGTTTAAAATTATCCCTCTTCAATTGAATGTAATATACTAATTTCTATACAATTTAAACGTACTCCCTTCGGATCGTTCACAAATTAACCGGGAAATCGATTAATTCTCTAAACAGAAAACATTTAATTAAACCGTCAGCTCCAGAATTCCCCTGCGTGAAAGCTGTAAGTGTTATTGAACATCAATGTGTTCCACGTTTAACGCCTAACACTTTTCGATCAACTGTATCTAGCGCGACCTAACGTGATCCAGTGTTTGTGCACCTAAGCTTGAATCCACAGGAAACTATCAGCTTCTTATTGCCACTAATAAACAGCTGCTTTCTAAAGGCTATATAGCATCGTTCGATTAAGTGCAAAATGGTGTCAGGATTAAGGATTTCCAATGAAACCTCTACGATAAGCGAACTTATGAAACCTGAAAACATCGTGATACTAACAGACGTACGTGAAAAAAGGACTGAGGAAACTGACTCACCAGAATCGGTATGTGCTGAAAGACGTAGCAGACGAAGAGGATGCTGTAGATCGTCGATCTGCCGCTAGCTTCGTCCACCTGAACCCTCTTCTTTCTGAGGCAGGCTCTGCTGTTGGTGGATCCACTGGTGCACGATCCGCTCGAGGGATCCCATTGCTGAGGATGACACTCGAATGCTCCTGACGAATTCTTCGAGCTAGCCTCCGACAGGTCTGACACAGATTTCAGCAATTCCGCCTTCGGCGTTCGACAGGCACTTCTGACTAGAGCCACCAGCAGGCTGATGACTGTGCTCAGCATCAGCAAACATCGCAGAGAGTTCACGAAGACGCCATATTTGGCGGAGATTTCGTGGGCTAGGAAGACGCAGTGTTCCGGCTCGAAGTTGAGGACACCGGTCACGCCGACGCACGCGCTGATCACGCTGAGACTCACCAAGTGATACTTCAGGTGATTCTTCGTGATGTGAACGTCCCTTGTGCTGATCGCGGTGAAGATCGCGATCGAGGTCAGCGTCAACTCCTGCAGGATGTTCGAGGAGTTCAGCATCCAGACTAGGGTTGAACAGAACTCTGCGGATCGCGCGAAATTCGCTGATTAGTTTGCAGTTGACAAGTGGAAGATGATTAGAACACTGTTCTGGGTTCGTGATCCAATTATGGCTGGCGTATGAACTGGTTGAGGCTAATTTAGCGGAGTGTGTCAAGGTGAAGTGATTATAATAAAGTTCTAAGTGTCGGAGGATGCGGTATTTAAAACAGTAGGCTGGTATGCGTCTGTTCGCTATTTCTGGAATGAATGTAGGTCTTGAACTCTCGTTATCTCGAATACTAATCGGTTCGTATCGTCGATCTGAGATGGATACTATTTAGATAGTTGGCGAAGAGTGATCTTTTTAGCGTCTTGGGCAACAGAGGCGTTTATTAATAATAGGTCGCGATGAATGTTGATCCTAGCGGTTCAACGACGAAGCTGGATATAGATAAGTGTGATTCATAGGTTAGCTACCTCCGAAGTGATTACTTGGCCGAATCAGTGTCAGGATCGCGTACAGAAGGAGTCCAAGCTGGTGAGCGAGACTCTCGGAGAGAATGGCCACTGTGAACACATCGATCCTCCGTTTCGCGGATGATGGTTGGCTCTGATAGATCAACAGTGACCATGATAGCAGCAGGATGCAGATCGGTGAACCTACGCAGGTCGGCAGCCATTCTCCTACCTCGCTTCGCATCTCTGGAAACCGAAACCAACAACATGTCACGGAATAACGGCGAAAAATAGAAAACTGTAATTTTCATATTTCTTTAAAAAGTATTGTGCAATATATAAAATTAATATTAACCCTTTGCGGACGAATGTCGACATTTCGGCGAGATCGAATGTCCAAATTTGGAAAAGTCGCAAACAAATGATTCAATTACTCGAACAGCAAGAAATCAGTGTATAATTTCCTTTCTTTCTATTATTTAAGCAATCGATATATAATTTAACTTCATCTGCTGGAGGTTTCGTATATTTCGAAGAATCTTCGTCCGCAAAGGGTTGGAAAGAAAAAATTGTACAACAAATACACAGAGAGAATAAAATGTTCTAGTGTAAAAGACACGGAACAATAGTTTCCCCCAGTTTCCCAAGACGATTCGTAGAACCGTTGACTGAAGCCAGAATTAATCATCAGCAATTTACCCAATTAGGCGTACCTTCACGCTAATTTACTCTCCGAATTCGACAGAAATGGAACAAACTTTACGAGCACTAAAGTCGCGCGTTCTATTCATCGAGACGCCCTGGATCCGTGCCAGTTTCCCCGACAAAGATCACTGGTACAGAAACTGCGAAAGAAAAGTGACTAAGAAACCGTTCCCTGACCGCGCGTTCGAGAATTCATCGGACGGAAGTGGAATTCCGTCCAAGAAACAAAAACGGACCGCCGCTGATCCGTCGGCCAAAAACGAAATGTGTCCCCGTTCAGCGGATCGCGAGATCGACGAAAGAAACGGTTAAGAAACGTCGCTGTTAATTAAACAAATGCATTGAAGGCTGTTAGAGGCGCGCCGCCCGAGAAATTAGTGTCCGGGAAAAACAATCTCGCTCGCGTTCCCGGCGCGAGATCGCAAGCGAGAGTGCTGATACCTTAATCTCGATGAAAGCCCGGGCAATTAGCGTCGCGCGCGTCAAATTATTACATCCTTGTGCACGAGGAAGAGCGGTCGGAATTGTTGTTAATCAACGTGCTCAGTTGCAGCGGGACGATCGCCGCGGAAACGAGGAAGTCGCCGGTTTCGCCATGGAAATCGTGAACTCGCGAGGACGACGCGTTCGAAGGAGGATACCAGCCAGCTGGCACCGAACCCCGCCGCCATTTTTCTTCCTCGTTCTACGCATTCGAGCCCCGGTTTCTCTGCTCCTCCACGCAGGAGACTTTCTATTCCGCGTGCAGCCGCGGTCTAATTTATTATTGGGACCGAGTTTAACCGGCAAACCGAATTCCTGAAGAATATTTATCAACGCTGGATCTGGGAACGTTCAGCTTGACTCTTACCGTAGGTCTCCGGGATGGATGAAGGTTTTCTCTTAATTATTAGATCTACGATCTTACGGATCTTGAGAAAATATCCATTTACGAGTTTAAACATCAGCGGTGAATCTTCATTTCTCCCGGAGTCTTCGAAAGTCCGCGCAGTTCTAGAGAACGGGATCACTAGAGTGATCAATAACCGGCGGAGTTCAGCATCCCGAGATTATTAAAGTTATTAGAATAATGTTCTCGAAGATTACCGGTGTCCGCAGCTCGAGCGGATCTCCGGTAAATCTCGGAATGGAAGGAAGCTCAAGAGGATTCCTAAAATATTAAGACACCGCGGCGAGTGTCCAAGTGATCTCTACCGCCTGGGAAGCCGACTCGTCTTGTTAATCTGACGAGTAACCTCTGGAACTTTTCCGTTTCAAAGATCATCAAGCTGCGAAGCCGGTGATCTTTCATCACCGAAGGGAAAGTAGGATATTCGGGTTCCCCGGCAGAACGCGATATTCCCCTGGAACGAGGACGTCGCTAATACCACGCATTAAACCCGATAATTTCCGTATTATTTTGCCACGCTGACGTTCCAGCGGCGCGAGCGTTACAGAAGAAGGAGATATCTCTGGAACCGACAGACGGAGGAGGCAACCTCCTCCCGACTGTGCCGAAGTTTCTAAAAAAAGAGGCGAGGTGAGTAGTGGAGGAAAGGATCGAGCGGTTCGATTAGAGTAGCGCACGGCACGCGAATCTCTCGTGAAGTTTCTGAGCGACTGGTTCCCAAGTGGTCCTTATCGGAGTCGCATCGTTGATCGAAAAATTAAAAATTCCGTGTGTACTCCTCGAATCAGCGCGCTTCCGAGCGCCGGTCAAACGCTGTTTTCCCTGTTCCGACGCGCGGCGGCCGCGCGCACTTTCACGTGCTGGTCAGTTAACGAACCCGCGGCTAAATCCGCGCGTTTGTAATATGAATACGACTTTTTCTTTTCCCGTGGTCGCGGGAAAACGATCGCGGAACGGAGAGATACGGGCCCGACATCAGCGTGCGTGCGCGGTGAATTTCAAAATCGACTACGCCCCAGGAGAACCAGTGGCGGTAATCGGTTCGCGAACTGCTTGCGTAACTGATTGAATAAACACGATCACCGCTGGGAACAGCGGCGGAAAATCGCGGACTAAGCAAGATTATTCTGTCTGGAAAAATTGGAATAATTATTGAACAGGTAGTGGACTTGAAATTGCCTGAACACGCTCGGAATCGTTTTCACGTGTTCCACGGGGAGACCCGGCGATTGCAACTTGTTGATCGGCAGTGTGGGATACGGTGGGAATAATTGGAATGCTTGTGGATATAGATTCTTTGCACGCGAACTGCCATTTTCGTTTCGTTTCCAGCTGCATCAACGTTCTGTGATTAGCGAGTTTTATGAATTCTCGTTTATGCTCACGCTTAATCTTTTATCTTTTACTTGTTGAGCGTCGGAGAACCTTATTCGATCGTATTTTTGATCTTGTAGAATATACGAGTCTCAAATGAAGTAAATTGGAGTATTATTCTTCTAGCTTGTCACTAGATTTATAACATCTTCGCATCTAAAGTCTGTGAGCTAATTATAATCACTCGAAAGGACTGTTAAATAAGAGGAATATACTAGAGGATGATATTCGATCGTATTTTTGATTTTATAGAATACACGAATCTCGAAGAGAATTGAAGTATTATTTTCCTAGCTTGTCATTAGATTTGTAACATCTCCGCATCTGAAGTCTGTGAGATAATTACAATCATTCGAAGGGACTGTTAAATAAGAGGAATATCCGAGAGGATGATATTCTTAAAGAACGAAGTGGTTTCAGCCGGCGAACCGCCACTTATTTCAAAGAATATCGGATTCCCCGTCGTGGCAGCTATAAGCCTGCACCCTTTAAGTAGATTTTCCAAGTGGCTTTTCCACGACTCGAGCAGCTCCCTCGGTTCCATGGGCTTCAATTTACATGGCCGTCGGAGCGAAATTATTCCCGGACTGAAGGTGGATTCAAACCAGTTAGAAGCCGCAGAAACCAGGTTAATTTTCCCCTGCGACTGATAACAATGTCGTTCGAGGAAACCAGTCCTGAAGATCTTGTCTCTATTATGCTCGGCTCTTTCGCCCGATGTGAACACATCATTCTTCCTCCCGTTTGCGCCGGAAGTAGGTTACACGAAGAAAGTTTACGTTTCCGTGGTTTCATCGCCGCCGCGAATTCTTCTTAAAAACGAAGAAAAAACCAAGGGAATTCACTTTCGCAGGGATTTCGACAGAGACGCCTCTAAATCATCTCCCAGCTCCCCGTGAATTTTTGCACTTCCTGCTACCGTTCCACGAGCAAATCCATTATCCGCCTGAATATGTATGAATGGAAATTAAAAGAGATATTTATCACCGGTACTGAGTACCAAGAGGAAACTCCAACGAAATGTTTACCAACAATCTTTACTCTCGGAGTAGATTCGACGAACCGTTTACCGTCATCTCGGAAATCTACCGAGACGTTCCACATATTTATTCACAAGAATAAAGGAACATTGGAATATTCTTTTATTACCTCCACTTATTTACTAGACGCCATCGAATACCCCGGGAAACGAAAAAGGTTTCGAAACTTTTCAGAAACACACAAAAACCCAGAAAAATGTGGGGGCCTCTCGCGGGAGTGCTTTATAAACTAACGAATTTATAGGCACTTATACTCGTGCCCGAAGGAATCGGTGGCCTGCCATCTCGCACCAGGAATTCTTCTCCCGGAGCGTACTCCGTCGAAAGATCGTGACCCATCAAAGACACGATAATACCATCAAGCTCCGCTTCCTAATCTCGTCCCGTGGAGGCTAAACGCGGCGCAGCCGCACACGCGCTCCCAACCGGTATAGCCTATGGATTATGGGACGCGACGGTGAGAGGTGTGTCGTTCGATTAGGTTGGAATGCCGAGAGGTGTAGCATCGGCCAAGGTCAGAAAAAAATGCTGCTCGCCAGCGAAGCCGCGCGAGATCCGGAGGATAGACGGCCGACGTTGCTCGACGCATGGCCTTGTTTCGCAAAGGGGAAGCGCGAACCAGTTCAGAGAAAACAAAATTCCTAACAGGAAGACCCGCGGTCGTCCTTCGTCCTGCGGGGATTCGCGCGGGACTCCCCCGATCGGGAAGGACCCACGGTTCCCTGGGAAACGTTCAAGAACGAAAGTCGCGGCGCGACGAAGAGAGAACAATGTTTACGGAAGAGGGAAATCTATCTTTGATCGTAATACGAGGATTTCTAAATTGTTTCGAATCATAATGAAAAGACGCGTTGAATTCTATTTCTCCGAAGCTTTGTACTTTCTAGAATCCGCTAATTAAACAGCTAATCAGTCGATCTTGATGGTTAATGAGATCGACGGTTGAATCCCTTTAGCGCGAATGAATCGCCGGCGATTCACGTGATCCAGGATTAAACGGGAGGATTAAGAGATCTCACGTTAATCTGGTATCGCGCGAAAAATTGCGATTCGATTGAAGATTGGCGAGTCCCGCGTTGGCCGGAGGTTCCGGGGAACGTCGATTCCCGCAATTACGTCGCACCGGGACGAAATTATGTTTCATGATTGTGACCTTTGGCCAATTAGAGCCTCTCCGGCCGAGCAATCAGCCGGCCTACGTGAAAACGATATCTGGTGTCACGAGCACCGTGCCCCCGGTAAAACTGCACGCCTCTAACTCGGTCATGTGAAACTCTGTCGCCCACTCTATCACTCGATCTCCGTTCCTCCGGCGTTCTCCGTCTCTCTCTCTCTCTCTCTCTCTCTTTCCCCGATGGCTCCGAGCGTTCCCTGTCTCCTCCGAGCTCGGAAAGGATGCTGGCCTCCACCTTGAAACCGTTTCTCACGATTAATAAGCGATCCTCCAACGGGAACTTCATTTTAGCCACGCTGATCGAGACCCGTCTTCGAAGGAAGCCGCCTCTCCCGATGGAATGGCGGAACGTTCAGCGACTTCCGCGTCTGGATTTGGCGAGCACCGTGGAAACTAGCCCCCCGCGAGATTTCTCCGTCGGTTGGCTCCGAAAAAGAAGTAAAGAACGAGCCTCGACGAACGACCGATCTCGGGGAACTTTCATCTAGGAAGACCACCAATTAGAAACCTGTCGATTTGATGCATCGCTCGGTCCCGATCGGAAGATTCCTTCAACAGTGGAAAGTGCATTTAGCGCTGATAAGGACTAACAGCTTGTAACGATTACTCATCGACACCTGGAAGACCTACTGGGGAATGTGGGAAAAGATACGATTACCTGGGAAAGAATGTATGGTATCCTTCCCATAATGTGCACCCTTTACTTCACCATTTCGAAGTTTCTAAAGCGACTCTCAATCTTAAACCATGAAATGCATTCCTGAATGCAGACAGCAGAGCTGTATTTCAATGATTAAGCCCATCATCCCACCTACAATCTCCTTATCGAAATCTCATACTCTCCAACTAGAATCGAACCTACTCAAACCTCCAACACAAGCAGATCCTAAATAATAACCTCCAACAGCCTGAATCCCAAAAGATCCTCTCCCGAAATCCTCGGAACTCGTCTCGTGTTGGGAAGTCCGAGCACGACGTCGACTCACGTCGGAGTTGAGTAACCGCGAGGACGAAAGGGCGAGACAGATGCGAACGACCGCGCGGAGGAGGTAACTCGAGCGAATTAGATCCTTCTAAATCGAGTGTTGGCACCGGTGCCAGCGCTGCGCCGCCGCGCCGCTCGGTCGGGGTGACTGCATCGTCCTGCCGGGAAGTGGGTTACGAATACTGGCGCTGGCGAGAAAGTAACCGGGAGCCCCGATTTATCGG